AAGCCAAAACCATAGGCATTATTCTTGATCTCCTCATTCTGCACATATCATATCCTATTCATTATCAAGTCCAGCTTCAGAAATACGTCTCTCAACTTCATCTTTACTACCACATCCCTAGTTAAAGCCACTACCAGCTCTCAACCAGTACTGGAGCAGCTTCATAATTGGCCTTCCCACTTACATTCTTGTCACCTTCTAGTGCATTGATCAGAATGGACTTCTTAAAATAAATGTGGATCATGTTTATCTTCTGCTCAGAACACGTCAATTTACTTGTGACAAGTCCTCAATATGGCCTCTAAGAATCTCGGTGATGTAGCTCTTATTTGTTTTTCCGGTCTAATCTTGTGCTCCTTTCCCTCTTGCTCACCAGGTTCCAGTCACACTTGCCTTCTTTAGAGATCTTCTAATATTTCTGATTTTTTTATTTTCTCACTTCCAGGCTTCTGCTAAGAATGTTTTTCTTCTCACTCAAGTTTTCAACTGTTACTCAACTTTTATCATTTAGTTTCAATAAAACTTCCTCTATGGGTTGCTCTTTGAATCTCTTAATCTAAGTCAGGGCTCCCGTCATACTCACTCGTAGATTCCACTGCCCTCTTTTCACATAACTTATTATAGTTTACAATTATTTAGGTGTGAAGTTGGTTTGTTTAATGTAGGTCTTTCCCCTATACAAGGTCCAGGAACTCAGATACCATATCTGTTTTGCTTATAACTACATCCCCAGCATTTGGCACAGTGCTCAGCATGTCATTGGGTCTCAATTTAGACTTCTTTTCATGGACAAATGAACAAATAAGTATAGATCAAGTGATAGCATTAATATTTCATTTAATTTCATCTTACTTTTCTTTCAGAAATTCTATGATTGATATTTTGGCTCTCATCATTTTTCACTCATATGATTTTTCCATTGGTTACCTAATAATTTGGGGTTTATGACCGTTGAAACCCAGCAAATATTTTCAGTCATCTTAATACCTTAAATTTGTATACCTACAATCTTTAGTGTACCTTCATAAATATTAACTTTATTCAATGATGGAGTCATGACATACTGACTTTTAATAATTTCTTAGAAATCTACACTTTATATTACTCCTAACAAATAATGCATCTAACACATGAGATCCATTTATCCAGACATTGGCTGTGGCTTCTCCATGAGGAGACTGATTTCCTTCCCTAATTATGGACAATGTGTTTTAGCCCAGGTACGATAGGCCAAGGAGCCTTCTTCAACTCCTCCACCATAATTGTTTCCTGCCACCAAGCAAAGTGGCACATCTATTGATTAGATGAGAATGCCAGAATTAGACTGCTTTCCAACAGGCAGCAAAGTCGGTCTTTCCTGGTTTTCATTTTATGTACCTAAAAAAAGCCCCTTGCAGAGAAATGGGAAGTCTGTGAATGTAACATAGGGAATCTTAATTGAATATTGTCAGGAATTCTCTTTCTACACATTTGTAAAGAGGCAGAGACTATAAGAAAGTGCTGCCATCGTTCCCACCTCCTTATGAGGCATGAGGAATAGTTGTGCCTCTTTTTTTTTTTTAAAGATTTTATTTTTTTCCTTTTTCTCCCCAAAGCCCCTTGGTACATAATTGTATATTTTTAGTCGTGGGTCCTTCCAGCTGTGGCACGTGGGGCGCCGCCTCAACATGGCCTGATGAGCAGTGCTATGTCTGCGCCCAGGAGCCGAACCGGCAAAACCCGGGGCCGCTGAAGCAGAGCGCGCGTGAGCTTAACCAGTTGGTCACGGGGCCGGCCTCTGTGCCTCTTGATTTAATATTACACATTAGTCTTTACATAAACTTATGATATGTTAGTTCAAATAGTTTAAAAGATTTGATTAGGACACGCTTCCCCATCTGTACCCAACCCTTATTTTTTTCTTATTTGGTTACACATCACATCACATGATGAGAGTTGGAACCAGCCGAATTGTGAGACCACAAAGGCTTCTACTAGGAGAACGATGAGAAAGAGAACTTTTATTCAACACATATTGGGGTTGAAATAAACTAAATCCAAGAACCAAAGAATTTACTTTGAGTCCTTCATGGGTGCCATTACTCTCTAAATAGCTCTTGTTAAAATGTATATTGGGTTAAATCAATTCAGAGAAGCTGTGCTTGATACAAAAAGTGAAGACCTAAGTTGACAGGATCATGCTAAGTAAAAGAAAGCTAAGTAAGGTTTTTGTTAGATATTTAAAAATAATTTAAAGATAGTCCTGATGCTTGTGTGTGTTATTATAAACTGGTTAACTGACATCTCAATTAAGGCATCCCTTGGGAATGAAGCTCATTTATACGGAGTTAGTTATATTTAATAGCAACAACAAAAAGAAAATTCTCACAAACTATGTGAAGTAAAGCCTTTTTTTTTTTTTGCAACTGTAAATGCTTTGTATCTCTAAGTGCGACTTATTTTGCTTGTGTCCATTAAGTTGAAGGAAAGGGATGTGTTTCCTGGGAGAAGTGAAGCCCATAGTGACTTCTGTTCCTGACTGCTTCTTTATGCACCATTTTCTCTTTCTCAATTTCAGGGTCTCCTTCTAACTCTCCTACCCAAGTTTTTCCTTATGAAAAAAGTATATAAATGAATTCATCCTAGAAATATTTATTGACCAGCTACTATATATCAACCATTCTTCTAAGCACTGAGAAAATAGCAGTAAACAGACAAAAATCTCTGCCCTCATGGGACTTATATCTTTGAGCACTTGAAGGATGGTGACAGAGAATCTAATAGATACATCCAGATGAAAATCAAGGGAAAATCCAATATGTATTTTTAATTGCTTTGTTCTTTTTGGTGGAATCCCATCGGGGCTCAAAACTACTTGTATTTCCCCTAATTCTAGTGTAAGGAGACAAATATTAAATAATATAAATAAGTTAAATATTTGATGGTAAGATGTTATATTCAAAACAAATAAAAGTGTGATGGAGGGATGATGTATATGGATGTGCAATTTTAAATTGAATGACCAGGTGAGACCAGGTGTAAACATCTGAAGCATGTCACTTAACCAGTCATTTTGAATGTGAGTTTCCTATAGTGCCTAGAATGCTCTCTGGCACACAGAGGGAATCAATAAACATTTTTTGAATGAATAAAGGAACTGCCATTGTCATCAGTTAAGATTTTGGGGTTGTAGGCAGCAGAAATTGGTTCTGGCCCACTTCATACTTTATTAAAAGAATGTTACTTGCCTCCAGAAGTGACAAGATAGCTGCAGAGTCAGGCTTAGATGGGGACATGTATCCAATTATTGCTGCAATTATTTAGGTGCAAATATTTTCACCCTGTCCTTGAATATTTGCACTCAACACTTAAAGTCCCATGAGACAGAGTCTAATGTACCAAATGTGACTGAATCATCTGTCTCCCTTTGGATAGAAGAGAACAGGACACCTTGTTTTATGGTCCCACCAAAACTGCATGTAACTGCAGAGAAACAAAGAATTAGGATGAAATCAATGTGAAGGATGAAATCAGCTGGAAGAAACTGGATAGAAGATAGAACGAAATGCCCATCACAGGTTCCCATTCCTCTTAGTTTGCACTGCTTCCACAAAGTCAAGGTTGTGATGTAAGCGCATCCCCTGGGAGGAAAAAGAGACCTAGCAATTTGGCCTCTGTTAACGCCTCAGTATCTTCATCTTCTCCAGTTGAATAGCAAACCTTGTAGAACTGAGTGCGGGAACCTTGAACAGATGAGACTGATAAGAACAGCATTTTAAGGCAAAGATGACTGGATGTGACAATGAGATTGTGGGGTTGACATTGGAGAACAGTAAAGAGATGCTGAAGAAAGGTTAGGCACTAATGCCAAATATAAGGGTGGTGGCTTCAGGTAATGACATCTGTATACACAAGCCTTCCAATCACATAACTTCATAAAGTAAGTAATTGTTTCTAAACACTCATTTTCTGTAATGATTACAGTGCCAGTTTGGTTGATTATTGAGCAATTGATTACTGTCTCCGATAAAAAGTTGAAACCAGATGGTTTTTCGTTTTGTTTGCCTTTATAGATATAGCAGTGAATGTAGGACCATGACAACCTAGGGATTTATTTTTAAGCATGATTCACAGTAGTTTCATCCACTATCATTATGTAAGTCTGTCAGACATTTGGAATTGCTTTAATCTGGTAAATTTTATTGGGATTTTTACAAATTGTAAAATTATTCTCTTTAGTTTATTGCTGGAAAAGATTCAACTTATATGACCCCCAAAATTGACTTGCGTGATTGCAAATATATGTACTACTACTCCTGGGACCATTCCAAAACATTGCTGGAACTCTGATCCGCTAGCAGATTGTATGTGCAGGGAGCTATAGAGCTTACTTCGTAAGCCTCCTTTGATAATTTGAGTCCAGGTTTTTTACATAACGTTTGTTTAGATATTAAAGAATTGATAAGTTCAGACTGATAAAAATGATACCTTTGTTTGCTCTTGGAATGTATAGCTTATAATACTGAACCAAAAAAAATATCTACTTGTATGAAACTAGACTATAAAATTTTCTTCACAGCTTTCTTTGTTTTCCTGCTTTTTTGTTTATTTGTTTTTGCTGAGGAAGATTCACCCTGGGCCAACATCTGTGCCAATCTTTCTCTATTTTGTATGTGAGTCACTGCTATAGCATGGCCACCAACTTTTGGGGTAGGTCCATGCCTGGGAACTGAACCCAGGCCACTGAAGCAGAGCACCCCAAACTCAACCAATAGGCCACGGGGCAGATCCTTCTTTTCCTGTATTTTTAATCATATTTATTTCTATGATTTGGCGTTAAAATGTATATAAAATGCCATTAAAGAGTGAATGAGAAATTAAAATTTAAGTATAATACAAAATCTAATAACTTGGGAATGCATTATTTAGGAACTAAAAATCCTTAATATTCCATAACTTGCCAATTTTTTCCTTAGTGCAATAATGGTAATCTTTTGATCTTTTTGTTTTTCTCTCTGCAGTGCTTTAATACATTATTGAAACTACAGACTCACATCCACAGCGGTTGCATGTTAATAGATTGCATATTTTGAAAGCCTGAGGTATTTCATATGAAGTATGCAATGTGGAAACTTTGAAGCCTAGAAGGCTGTGAAACCCCTGAATAAAGAATTCCTTACCTGGTATGTAAGAGAACTCCTCGCCACCACCATGACAAACCAGGAAAAGTGGGCCCACCTCAGCCCCTCAGAATTTTCCCAACTTCAGAAATATGCTGAGTGTAAGTATTTATATTGATAATATTATTTTATTTGGCATTTGTGCTAGACAAGGTGTCATTTATTTCCAAGAACAGATTATGGATCCTGTTCAGTATCAGGATAGATGTAGGTGTATGTTTTGCAATTGCAAGCGGGTCGACTTGAGACTCCCTTTATTTGGCATGAGGAAAAGGCAGGGGTAAACTTAAATCAACATGAAATCTAGAAGAAAAGGAGCTAGGGTGTTACATGCAAAACTAAACTTGGAGACACTCCAGGAGTAATAAAAGTGAAGCAAAAAATATGCCAGTTAGGGAGAATGGAGACTAGTGATACCCTGACCAAGAAGGGGAGGGACAAACAGAAGTATGGGGAAAAGTGAGGGTTTTTTTTCCTGTTAGCATAACATTTCAAAAAGGACTGAGAGTACCGAGGCACAGACACATTGTGGAGTTGGAATCAGAGGTTATAAAAGCAAGAGAAGATATCAGGACCTTAAGCCAACTTGTTTTGTGTCTGTGTTTATACAAAAGATAGGCCATGGTAGCCCTCTTTGCTATTTTTAAATATTAAGTTTCTTTACACATAAACAGTAAGATTTTATTTACAAGAAATTTGCTTTTACTGTAGATTTTCACGAATATATCTGTTTCACAAAATGAGTTGCAACTATAAATATGAATAGCAACTGGATCAAGGTATTGAAGAAAGAAAAGGAAGCCACCAATAAGTAGGAAGCACCAAAACGTTGGGAAGATGATGAGTAGAGAAAAAATTATACATAGAGAATATAATAAGAATGGTTAGAGTTGGGGGAATAACATGGTGACTGGGACAATCAAATGCAAGAAGTGGAAAGAGAAAAAGAACCAAGAGCACATAATAGTTAGGGAGGCAAAAATTGAAGCAACTGGAGATGCTTATGCAGACAGGAGGTGAGGCATATCAGAGATAAGCATCAGGAATGAATTGTATAATATTATGAAAAAGAGGCACAGAAAAATATTAAACACAGAAGGGGAATTTAGAATAATAAGAAATAGATGTGATAATAGTGAATAACACTCACATTTATAGGGTGCATGTTAGTCAAGAACATTGATAAACACTTAAGGTATATTATTAGAAAGGGCCAATTTCACAGGTTTTCTAGAGTCTTCCTCATCTTCCTAGTTCAAGGGCTGAAGTGTTCTGGGTGAGGCTGTGAGAGTGCTGCTGGGTAGTTGCAAGGAAGATTCAAATCCATAAGAATGTGTGCATTTTCTTTTTCTTTTTCTTTTTGATGGGGAAGATTTTCCCTAAGCTAACATCTGTTGCCAATCTTTTTCTTTTTGCTTGAGAAAGATTGTCCTTGAGCTAACACCTGTGCCAATCCTCCTCCATCTTGTATGTGGGATGCCTCCACAGCATGGCTGATGAGTGGAGTAGGTCTGTGCCCAGGATCCGAACCCATGAACCCAGGCCACCAAGGCAGAGCATGCAGAACTTTAGCCTCTAAGCCACTGGGCCAGCCCCAACATTTACATTTTCTTGGTTAATAAAAATACAACAACTGTCACAATGGAGGGGTGGTCAGAAATTTTTTATATCAAAATATGGTCCTCATATTCAAAGACTGTTTTGAGCCACGTCAAGCACATTTCATCCACTTATCACATGAAGAAAAGTTAGCCTAGAATGACTGAATTCTTATCTGCATTTTTATACTCAATAATTTCCAAATTGACTAAAAATTATTTATATTTTCCAACTTTTATATGCTCTTTGTTGTTGTGTTATATCCAATAATTAAGTAAATATATCTGAGCATCTTCTTTGGGGAGAGTATTCTGCTTGACACTGCAGGAAATGCAGATATAAACAGATGTAGACCCTCCCTTCAAAGAATTTATAGGTTTTTTTTTTTGCTTGAGGAAGGTTAGCCCTGAGCTAACATTTGTGCCAATCTTCCTCTATTTTGTATGTGGGTTGCTGCCACAGTGTGACTGACAAGTGATGTAGGTCCGTGCCTGGGATTTGAACCTGCAAACCTGGACCGCCAAAGCAGAGTGCACCAAACTTAGCCAGCACACCATGGGGCCAGCTCCAAGGAATTTATCATTTAATGGAGGCTAGAAGCTAATTGTACACGACTCTGTCTAGGCAGAATATTGTAAGTGCCACAAGGAAAATTTAGGGTGCTACAGGGCTTTAGTATGCAGTTGGAGATGGAGAAAGGAAAGTCTTCCTGGAAGAGGTAGAATTTGAAATGCAGCTTAAAAACTAAGTTTAAGGTAAATGGAGATGAAAATGATATAGATAAAAAGGAAAATTCAGCATATGTTTGAGGAAGGGAGATGAGCCACATTTAGCTACACTGCAAATTAAAAGAGTAAATGGAATTAAGGCTGTAAAAATGAGATGGAATTAAAATATACAATGCTAATCTTGAGTTAGGCAGAGAGGAGTAATTGTAGGGTTTTAAGGGTAGCGGGACATGAGCAATGCTATACTAAGAAGTTTACTTTGGCAAATGCGAAAATGGTATATGGTAATGGAAAGAGACTAGAGTCAAGCCAGTGGGTTATCGGAATAGACTAAATGATGTGGATGATGAAAGATGACTAGAAAAGCATAAATTCAGATACTGTAGCATTAAAACTAACAAAGGAGAGCTTGGGGAATAATAAAATAAGAGAATTGAAAGAGAAAGAAACACAGAGAGACAGACAAATACAGAGACAGACAGAGAGAGAGAAAAATCTAAACTTAAGCTCCAAAGATTCGACTTGGAGGATGGGGGAATTTGGTGACATAATCTCCAAGGTAAAGAAAACATTGAGTTTGGTTTAGGTTATATTGAATTTAGCTGGGTTATTAAAATATATTTTCCATTGTTTGGGTGCTTTCAGGAAAAATGCCTATGGAAGCACTAATATAAAATAAGTAAATTATTGTCATGATAGCTAAATTATCTTTTATAATGACTTTTGCTCAGATGTTCAAATTCCATTTGAACTGCTAAACAAGGTTTAACACTAAAGTATTAAGTATAATATAGGTTGTTACTTTCATTTGGTAAGAAATATGGGGGTACATTTAATTATATCATAAGAATGCTTGATGTAGTAACCAGTTTGTGGAAATGCTTAAGATAAGTGGTAATAAAAATTGTCATAAATGTAAAAGTTGTAACATATTGAGACAAAGATTAATGAACATTCAATAAATTGCTAGTAAGAAGTGACGTGGTGAGTATAAGAACATTATTAAAATGGCTTTTATGAGAAGAAAAATTAACCAATTAACTGTGAATGAAAACATAGTGCTGATTCCATGATCATTTGACTTGCTACTCTGTTTTAAGTGACTAAGACAACATGAATAGTGCTAGACTTAATCCTCCAAGAAGTTTCCTGTATAATTAGGAAGCAAAGAATATCGTAATTAGAATGTATCCTTGTGTAATAAATTGCCATTGTCAAATATAACTGGAAAAAGGATTATTATCCTGAAGATTATAACAGGAGTATATTTTCCAAGCTATTCAGTACATGCAATCAGCTTATCAGCAACACTTGAGGATCAGATTTTTCATATTGCAATGCAATATTGGCAAGGTGATATTCCTCTGTAGTCTATTAGAAAAGTGGTATGTTGGCTTTGCTTTCTTGATTTTAATTGTTTTGTAATTTTCAATATGAAATTGTTTGCATATATTAAAGTTCTAAATTTGAACAAACAAGTTATTGATTTAAGGTTAAATTTGCAGGATGCTAAGATTATACATGATATAAATTAAATATGTGATTTTTGAGGATGGAGTTGGGCTGTAGAGCTCTTGGTCGAATGAATGAGTTCATGGAAACTCTACCCCAGCAAAACTGAATCATTCAATGTGGGACCTAGATAATACCATAAAGATCATTTCCTCAAGTTAGCTGGTTTTGAATTCTCTCCACAGTCGCCACAATATACCCTGTGTCTTATTCTGTTTGAGCTTCTATAACAAACTACCAAAGACTGGGTGACTTATAAGCAACAGAAATTTTATTTTATTTTTTGAGGAAGATTAGCTTTGAGCTAACTACTGCCAGTCCTCCTCTTTTTTGCTGAGGAAGGCTGGCCCCGAGCTAACATCTGTGCCCATCTTCCTCTACTTTATATGTGGGATGCCTACCACAGCATGGTGTGCCAAGCGGTGCCATGTCCACATCTGGGATCCGAACTAACGAACCCTAGGCCGCTGAGAAGCGGAATGTGTGCACTTAACCGCTGTGCCACTGGGCTGGCCCCTAAGCAACAGAAATTTATTTTCTCACAGTTCTGGAGGTTGGGAGTCCAAGATCAGGGTGCCAGCATGGTTGGATTCTGGTAAGGGTTCTCTTCTGGGCTGTAAACTGCCAACTTCTCTTTCTATTCTCACATGGTGGAAAGAGGGAGAGAGGAGCAGCAAGCTCTCCAGGGACTCATATAAGGGCAGTAATTAAATTCATCAGGCTTCTGACCTAACGACCTGATCTAATTCTAATTGTCTCCCGAGCCCTCACATTGGGGGGTAGAGGTTCAACATATGCATTTTGCGGAGGATACAAACATTTAGTCCATTACACTCTGCAACTATAAATGTTCTTTTAACTGCTAGGCTTTCCTCATGATTAATTGGGAAAAAATGGAGTGATATTGGCACAGCATTCCTGGTTAGGCGGCTAGCACATCAGACAGCTTGTGTTCAAATCCTGGTCCCGCCATATTTTAGATTTCTGACTTTGGAAGAGTTACTTAGCATCTCTGTGTCCCATTTTTCACACTTATAAAATGGGGAAAATAATAAATATGTCAAGCGTTGTAAGTACTGAATTAAATAAGTTAATGTACGTCAAAGAATGAGAACAGTGCCGGGAAGTTGTGATATAATTGTTTACAGTTATTCTTTTAATAGAGAGGGAGAGAATGTGTTATGTTGGCTGTTTGAACATATTGTTGATGATCAAGTAGAAAAGTGCCACATTTTGGAGCATTAAGAGTTGGTGTCTTTTTT